CTGTCCCCATGAATTGCACCAGGAAGCCTCCTGGTAATCCATGCAGCTTAGGAAGCAGAAGTGTTGTGTGATCATACCATGATATACCCATAATGGCTTGTACTGCTGCATTCTGGACCAAATGTAGCTTTTGAGTGATCTTCAAGAGCAGCCTGATGTAAAGTGCATTATAATAGTCCAACATGAAATGAACAAAGCATGCGTGACTGTCTTAAGGGCCTCCTGGACAAGGTGTGGACACAAGTGGTGTGCTACATGATTTTATGCAAAGGGGATCCTGGCCACAGCTACCATTTGGTCCTCCAGCAGGTCCCCCATCCACACTAGCCCAAGGCCTGGGGAAGAGTCAAGCTTTAAGGGTTCATTAGGGTAGGGCCAAGCTGGGGGCCCCAGGTGCTTAGCCCCCAAGCTCTGGAACATTCTTCCCCCAGTATCTGAGGACTGGGCAGGCCTGGATGGGGAGTAACAGGCTCAAGCTCAACTCTGACAAGATGGAAAGATCATGGGCCTTTGGGCCACAGAGCTCTGGGGACTTAATGTACAGTGACCCTATGCATTTCTATTCCTGTATTGGTTTTCTATTTCCAAAGTTTGCTCTTAAGTTACAGCACTGTTTCTTCTACATTTTGCTGCTGTCTTTTCCCCAAATCTCACACTGCTCTGTTGCTCATCTCCCAGTTCCGTTCTAGCTTCTGGTTTCTTTGCTTGACTGGGTTGGGAAAATGCCTAGGAGCTCAGGCTTCTCAACAGCTCAGCAATTTCTGGGTTGTATTTCTTCCCTCACTTTTAACTAAGCGAGTAAATGGACAAGAGAATGTACAATACACACCCTGTTTGCTCAATTAATGAGGACTGGGGTGAACTACAGATACTGTGTCAGGGAAAAAAACCTCATTAAATACGAGAGACAGACACACCATAAAACAAGTCACCTCAAAGTTCTAAGTTCTTCTAAGAGCTTTATTAAAGTTAGTTCAGCAAGAAAGTAAAGTGCAATCGATAACATACAAGGTGCTTACTTAGATATACATTGCAATGCGGACTGACAGGAGCAAGCCGTCACTGAGACAGCTTGA